GAGGAAGGCTACTAGCTATTAGGGAGAGGGAGAGGGAGGCAACTAACCTTTGGTGAGAGGAAGAGGGAGGCTACTAGCCATTAGGGAGAGGGAGAGGGAGGCAACTAGCCATTGGTGAGAGGAAGAGGGAGGCTACTAGCCAATAGGGAGAGGAAGAGGGAAGCAACTAGCCATTAGGGAGAGGAAGAGGGAGGCAACTAGCCTTTTGTCAGAGGAAAAGGGAGGCAACTAGCCACTAGTGAGAGGAAGAAGGGGGCAACTAGGCATTAGGGAGAGGAACAGGAAGGCAACTAGTCAATAGGGAGAGGAAGAGGGAGGCTACTAGCCATTAGGGAGAGGAAGAGGGAGGCAACTAGCCATTGGTGAGAGGAAGAGGGAGGCTACTAGCCATTAGGGAAAGGAAGAGGGAGGCAACTAGCCATTAGGGAGAGGGAGAGGGAGGCAACTAGCCATTAGGGAGAGGAAGAGGAAGGCAACTAGCCATTAGGGAGAGGGAGGCAACTAGCCATTAGGAAGAGGAAGAGGAAGGCAACTAGCCATTGGTGAGAGGAAGAGGGAGGCTACTAGCCATTAGGGAGAGGAAGAGGGAGGCAACTAGCCATTAGGGAGAGGAAGAGGAAGGCAACTAGCCATTGGTGAGAGGAAGAGGAAGGCAACTAGCCATTAGGGAGAGGAAGAGGGAGGCAACTAGCCATTAGGGAGAGGAAGAGGGAGGCAACTAGCCACTAGGGAGAGGGAGGCAACTAGCCATTAGGGAGAGGAAGAGGGAAGCAACTAGCCATTAGGGAGAGGAAGAGGAAGGCAACTAGCCATTAGGGAGAGGAAGAGGGAAGCAACTAGCCATTAGGGAGAGGAAGAGGGAGGCAACTAGCCATTAGGGAGAGGAAGAGGAAGGCAACTAGCCATTAGGGAGAGGAAGAGGGAAGCAACTAGCCATTAGGGAGAGGAAGAGGGAGGCAACTAGCCATTAGGGAGAGGAAGAGGGAAGCAACTAGCCATTAGGGAGAGGAAGAGGGAGGCAACTAGCCATTAGGGAGAGGAAGAGGAAGGCAACTAGCCATTAGGGAGAGGGAGGCAACTAGCCATTAGGGAGAGGAAGAGGGAGGCAACTAGCCATTAGGGAGAGGAAGAGGAAGGCAACTAGCCATTAGGGAGAGGGAGGCAACTAGCCTTTGGTGAGAGGAAGAAGGAGGCTACTAGCCATTGGTGAGAGGAAGAGGGAGGCAACTAGCCATTGGTGAGAGGGAGAGGGAGGCAACTAGCCATTGGTGAGAGGGAGAGGGAGGCAACTAGCCTTTGGTGAGAGGAAGGAGAAGGCAACTAGCCATTAGGGAGAGGAAGAGGGAGGCAACTAGCCATTAGAGTGAGGAAGAGGGAGGCAACTAGCCTTTGGTGAGAGGGAGGCAACCAGCCTTTGGTGAGAGGAAGAGGGAGGCTACTAGCCATTAGGGAATGGAAGAGGGAAGCTACTAGCCATTAGGGAGAGGAAGAGGGAGGCAACTAGCCTTTGGTGAGAGGGAGGCAACCAGCCTTTGGTGAGAGGAAGAGGGAGGCTACTAGCCATTAGGGAATGGAAGAGGGAGGCTACTAGCCATTAGGGAGAGGAAGAGGGAGGCAACTAGCCATTGGTGAGAGGGAGGCAACTAGCCATTGGTGAGAGGAAGAGGGAGGCAACTAGCCATTGGTGAGAGGAAGAGGGAGGCTACTAGCCATTAGGGAGAGGAAGAGGGAGGCAACTAGGCATTAGGGAGAGGAAGAGGGAGGCAACTAGGCATTAGGGAGAGGAAGAGGGAGGCAACTAGCCATTAGGGAGAGGGAGGCAACTAGCCATTAGGGAGAGGAAGAGGGAGGCAACTAGCCATTAGGGAGAGGAAGAGGGAGGCAACTAGCCATTAGGGAGAGGAAGAGGAAGGCAACTAGCCATTAGGGAGAGGGAGGCAACTAGCCTTTGGTGAGAGGAAGAAGGAGGCTACTAGCCATTGGTGAGAGGAAGAGGGAGGCAACTAGCCATTGGTGAGAGGAAGAGGGAGGCAATCAGCCTTTGGTGAGAGGAAGAGGGAGGCAACTAGCCATTAGGGAGAGGAAGAGGGAGGCTACTAGCCATTAGGGAGAGGAAGAGGGAGGCAACTAGCCATTGGTGAGAGGGAGGCAACTAGCCATTAGGGAGAGGAAGAGGAAGGCAACTAGCCATTAGGGAGAAGGAGGCAACTAGCCATTAGGGAGAGGAAGAGGGAGGCAACTAGCCATTAGGGAGAGGAAGAAGGGGGCAACTAGCCATTGGTGAGAGGAAGAGGGAGGCAACTAGCCTTTTGTGAGAGGAAGAGGGAGGCAACTAGCCACTAGTGAGAGGAAGAAGGGGGCAACTAGCCATTAGGGAGAGGAAGAGGGAGGCAACTAGCCATTAGGGAGAGGAAGAGGGAGGCAACTAGCCACTAGTGAGAGGAAGGAGGAGGCAACTAGCCACTAGTGAGAGGAAGAGGGAGGCAACTAGCCAATAGTG